GGTGAAGGATCTGAAGTACATGTTATGCTAAAAGGGGACCCATGCATAAGGGACGTGCTCCAATGAAGTTATATCAAGTTGGCACACCAATGGAAAGAGTGGCCATTGACATTACTGGTCCTTTGCCCCAAACTCGTGCAGGAAACAGGTACATTTGTGTGGTGATGGATTATTTCACAAAGTGGCCTGAGGCATATGCAATACCAAAACTGGAAGCTACAACAGTAGCTTCATTAGTAGGTAGTTTCATAACCAGTAGTAATGAAACCTAAGTATCCAATCCCACTTAAGCTAAAGGACCTCAAAGTAGTAACTCTAGGCTTTAAAAAATTGGAAATAATACTTATCTTCTCTATATAACTACAAATATTTATTTGTCTCATAGTTCAAATATTTCACCTGTTATTCTAAAACAAAAAAAAAGAGAGAAAAAATAACAGTGTCAGCACTACATAAAAATTCACCTATCTCAGTTTTATTAAAAATAAAAATATTTGATCCAACTTTTTCACTTCCATAAACGCTTCCAGTGCCACATTCATATTGAAAACTAAAAAACCATAATGTTCAATAATTATTCATATTTCACTATTACTAAAAATGCTCTAGAAGAGGGCTTGTATGCCCACGGTAGTAAGGGAGATAAGGTCACTTGTTCAAGAGTTAGTAGTTGAACAGAAAAAGCATTGTATCACATGCTTTTAGACAGTGTGCCTATAATTATTAGTCTTTCAGCAAAGTCCCGTTCTTCTTCTAACAGCCATCTCCAAACTGAGGCAACATACGAAAACTATTGTCATGCTTTCCTCTAGTGTCATTTATGAATGATAATGCTCCTCTCTACTGTGTATTTAGTATTACTTTGAACAGGAAACTGTTGTGAGAATAAAGTAGCTAGTATTTTCTCCAACCTCAGTTTACAGGTTTTCTTTTAACCTTTCCTGTTTATTTTTAGTAATACTTCGCAAATTAGCTATTTGTAAAATATATACCAGTAAGTTGGATCCACATTTATTTCATCAGTATAGTTTACAAAACTTTAATAAGCTATGTTTAACGTGGAAAATTAAAAGCACTTTTTAGAAAATGCCATGTTTTAATTGTTTATTAATTTTCTGAAATTAAAGCGATAACTAACACACTTTTCAGGAAATAGAAGTTTAAGTTTGTGTAATTATACAAATGAGAATCATTTTGAAATATATGTATCATTTTGTCTCACATTTATTAAGACCAAAAATGAAATTTTTACAGTTACATAAAAAAATATACATAGGTAGACCTTCAAATTTACGCATAAAAAATAACGCATGACAACTGGTTTTGATATACAATGATATGAATGAACACTAACAATTGAACTATAACATTCATGATTTAAAAAAATCTATTATGTCAACACTAGTTTTTATAAAATATAACACGTATACATTTTAGCAACAGGTAAAATACATCACAAATGAAACCACGTCTGGTTGTTAAAAATACATATATAACCACTTTTATCAAAGTTGCACTTAAAATACAAACATGAAAAAAACTCCAAAGAAATGCATGGAATTTTATGCTACTCAACTCAAACCACAGACTTAAAAGAACCCTGCACCATTAGGAAATACTGATTTTTAACAGCATAACACATGGTTTGTACTAGTATTTTTTCACTCCAAAATGTTTCATCTATTTTTAGATGAAAATTTCGGCAGAGGAGACTAGAAAATTATTTCCACAATCACCTTACTTGACAATAATCTACAATTATCATCATTTGATAAGTTATATTTCAAAAAGTTAGAATACTCTCTATAAACATTAAGTTCTTACTTTCATCAGTAAGCAAATTAAGAAATAAACATACATCTTTTGAACTTCAAACATCAATCCACTCATGATAGTACCAGAAATAAGTTTAGAATGAAAGGAAAATATTAAATTGTAGTACTGATCACATAAACTAGCTAGCCTAATATATCAATAACATTAATAAAGACAAAATTCCCAAAAATATTAAATACTTGTACAACTAAATGATAGATTAGTTATAAAAGTTTAGTATTTCTAAACACTGTATTAGGTCATTAAAGAAAATAAATAGATGGCTGTGTTATTGTATGTCATCATTTACTAATTAAAAATTTAATAAAAATAAAACTTACAAACATTTGTAAAATATAAAGCAAACATATTAGGTTATTTCCAAATTCAAACCCTAGAAACATAATGTAAAAACTGGCATAAGTACAACTAATAATGTCATCACCTTAAATCTTTAAGGATATAAACTGTCTTTTCCAGCTCCTAGAATCAACACTAAGGTACAATAATCTCCGAATTTATTGACACAGACAAAAGTAATATCTATTTTTACTTTTGTCTTAGCTTATTGAATATATTACATTTATTTGGTCAACTTCTAACTTTTTAAAGAAAAAATATAGAAATACTTTTCATTCCAAGCAGATAGTACAAGAATATAATTCACAAATACTCGTGTTATATTTACTATTTGCACTCTATTAAAAACATTTTACAGTGTATAAATGTCATACTGGAGTATAAAAACTGGGAGAACCCTTTTCATCACTCTGAGGAGGCGTTAAAGTTCCATTTTCTGACTTCGGGCTGGTTTGTGCAGAAAACATATTTGTTTCTGCTTGTCTAGCCTGGGCTTTTTCCTGTAATTTGTAAATTTTTTATGTAGTCAGTGCAAGAGCAAAAACATGTACATTTTCCTACTATTAAACACACACTGCAGGAATTATAAAAAAGAAGCCTATAATTTTTGATGCAAGCTAATTTTCACAAAACCAATAAACACAAAAATGAATTACTCCTCTGCCCCCCCTTTTTTTGCACTGGCATTTATATTAGATGATTTATTTTTGGTTACTTTTCCAATATTTATTTATTTAATTTCTGTAAAGTGATGAACCATTAGAAATAATTCCAAGGAAAATAGTCCACACAAACCTTCTAAAGTTGAAATCTTAAAATTTTGTCAAAACAATGTACTTTATATTCAGAATACAGGCACAGAAGCCTCATAATTAATACAAGATTAACTGAGGCGGCCAGTTGTAGTTGTGTCAATTCAAGCATGTTTGTGCATTTTGTGAAATGGTTGAAACATAGAAGGATAACAAATGCATAAAACTGAACAATACTCGGGGATTTAAACATGTTTTTATGGTGCATATGTACTTTATAATGGTAAAGTAGACATTCTTTGAGAAAAATACACTTCAACCTTAAAAGGATAAAAGTTAGCCTTTCTATTGTTGTATTATTTGTTACGTAAAAATGACACAGTCTTTAAACTTGACCATATCCAAAAAATTATAGAAAAATCACTGTCAGGATTTAATGAAACATGCAGGAAATTTAAATTTTTCAAATAAAACATATTAATTCAAGAAATAATCAGAAATGTCTCATAACAAGATATTATAACCCCCCCCCCGATGAATATTTGAAAGGTACAATTATTTTGTCGAAAGCTTAGTTCTTGTCTTAAAGAAATTAATGTGAATGTTTTTAATTTTTATACCGAGTGAGCTCGTCTATTATTCAATGCAAACATTTTTCATCATAAACAACATTTGATTTTTAATTATATATTCGTGGTGGCTTTGGTGGGAATGACTATTTCTATGTTAATGGTCATTAATTTCTATCGTTGAAAATTTTATTCTTATGCTCATTTTATTAACTGAAAGTTTCATTTTTATAAATGTGTATTTACTCCGAGAGCATTAATAACATTTGAAAGGCAACCCTTATTGCAAGTTAATTCTCCTTACAATAGCCCACAATTCTGTTTATGTGCCTGTCTAAAATAGTACTTCAAGGGGGTTTATGCCTTCCTCCCCAGGATGGCACACAGCAAATACATAATAATGTTAAGGTACTCAGTACTTATAGATTCATCGGGTGAGGGGCTCAGTCATGATAAAAAATGTTCTGGGGAGGAGGGCCTTATGCTGAGAAAGTGCTAGAATCCATGCTCTAAGCAGCTATAAATTGATATACAACCAGTGATGTTAGCCATGCTAATTTATATCTGCAAAAGTCAAGCTTCTTTCAATCAACCCAAGATCATCTAGGATGTGGGGATGAACTTCTTTGCAGTTGTTTTACGTAACGATTTACAAAGCATCATTTTATGTTCTATTAATGAATAAGCTTGCATTCCCATCAATAAGCATTTTTTAACACATTTCTAAAGGGGTTTTATAACCAAAAATTTCTTAAGACTCTCTGATTTATCCTTGGAATGATAATGATCATCTACAACCACAACTGACACACATATAACAACCACCACAAAAATAATGGCTTTTGTTTATTCTTCTATATTTCCAACAAGCACATTCATACCATATACAATAGTAACAACGAAACACACCAGTAGCTGAAGATCAACAATGTGTGTCTGTATGTTGTGCATGTTCTCCGATGCCACTTGATGAAAGATTTTCTGTTCGGCTCCACCGCTTTCTTCTATTGTTGCAGAAAATGGTGCCATCCACTCTATACAAGCAGTTAGGTCGTTTTTCTTTAGACCTACAATTGAAACATTACTTTTGTCTGATATCTAAATTTTATAAAATAGCATAAAAAATGGTGAATTTTTACTCTAACTTTCTGAGGTAAGAGCAATGTCTTCAAATTTTACCAAATATTTGTCTCCTCTCATTTCACACTTTTTCTTGGAACACTTGTTTTTTTAAATCTCAGCAAGTAAATAATGGGATCTATATGCTATGCAGCCATCTTTTTTCTGTAAGTATGTAACATTTCGACGGACTACTTGAAGGACCACAGATTGGGAACTGATGGTTTTAAAAGATACCATTATTCTTTAAATTGTTTAAATTCAAGTAACAGTTGAAATAAGAAAATTTCAGAAAACTTATCGTTGTGTATAATGAGACTGTAATCATAAAAATAATTTTTGTGCTTTATATATAGATATTGTATAATATATTATACATATTTATCAAAATATACATCAAAAGTTTGTTGTTTGTTTTAAAGCAAAGTCATATTGATCTGTCTGCTGTGTCTGCTGCAGGGAATCGAGCCCCAGATTTAGTATTGTTATTTCATAAACTTACCGCTGTCTCACTGGGAGACCACATCAGATGTTATAATAACAATAAGATCAATTATTATACATAAGTATTGAAATTTTACAAATGTTAGTAGGTCTATTGTTATAACTTTGAATGAATGTTACTGATGGTATTATGGAGATGTTAAGTGTTAGTACATAACTACCAATATGATTATTAACCACTGTAATAATAAAAAATATACATTACAATTAAGATTTTTTTCTCTCTCTCTTTCTTTCTAGAATCTGGCTTGTAAGATTCACTAATTTTTTTATAATTTTTCACAGCTCACCTGAGATTGCAAGCTTTTCAGATGCTATGTGATGTAAAGCAGCTCCTGCTACAACACTGTAAGGAAATTTTAGGCATTCCACATCCAGGATACACAAGTCTATTAACTGGGTGAAAAAACAAACAAAAAAACTTAACAAAATGAAGCAGTTTCCTCACTAAAAAGTATTTGTGTGAAAAACTTTAGAAAAGTACATAAAAAACAAACAAAAGTTACCTACTCTGCATAGTTTCCAGTAACCACACTTTATAATTATAACAAGTTTGTGTAAGATGTCCAAGATTGTAAACAAGAGAAGATTTCTTTACATAAAAAATTTGCTTACTTCACAAACAAAGAAACACAAATTTGTACATTAAGTTTGAGAGAAATCTCTATTTTTGTCAGAAAAATATTCTTCAGGTGAAAACACAGTTATTTACAGTTATTACAGTAAATACCAAAGTCAATATTAAAATCTGTCATACTGTAGTACAACAGTAATTTTCATTTAATAATTACAAACTCTTCAGTTTATTTTTGCCGTGATCTTTACAGTAAAATAGTTTTATAAAAGTGCTACATTTTTTTACTGTTACTAATATTTTATTTATAATTTAAAGTTATTGTTCCATATCTGCTTTTTTGTTAATTTCTGGTATAAATTCTTTCCAAGGAACTTTAGTGATACAAGTCCTTTCTTGATTAAAACTCGTTTATTCTTTTTCAATACAACTTTGTAATACACAGAATTTCCACAGTCACTTTAAACTTAACCTTTATAACACACACTATAAATCACAGTGATTCACACACTTTACTGTTCGCTTGACTCAATTATCTATCACTTCAATATCTATCTATAGCTCTTCAATCAATCATCCTGCAGGCTTTATCTGCCAGGATTATATACTAAAAAAGGGGGCATCCCAAATGCACTAGGAAATTCATGATCATTTGAGAAACTCATCATGTGTTACCAGCGTCACGTGACTTCCGCTGTCATAACATTATGAATGATTATAGTCTTTTAATGGACTAAGGTATTTTCCTTATCAGAAGTCTTACAAAATATATCCTTAATAGCAAGATTATA